TTAAAAGCAGCACCCCGCAGCTTTGAGAAAGTCTGCTTCTAAAAGCGCCACCACCAAATTGGCTCTCTGTGTGCGTGCGTCATAATCGAAAGGTAATTGCAGCGATGTTACTCCACGTTCAACAGCCACGCTTTTTTTGTTGTTGTTCTTAACGTGACGTAGAAAAACATCCCCATTATAGCCTTAACAGACTGTTGGAGGCGAGTGCCCTTAGCGAGTAGCACCTGTGAAGGTCGACACAGCGCACGAGGGGGGTGGGTGGCCAGCACCACGCCCGGACCGCCTTTGTCTCCCCGGTGGCGATGTTTACGCACAAGCACCAGGTACTCATTTGAGGCTGAGTCGACCTACGGGACCGGTTCAGATAATCTTCACCGGCGTTGCGCGGTGTGCGGGAATCGAACTCGGGTGGCCAGCTTCGTAGTGCAGCGCGCTGACCGTACACACGCGCGCACACACGCGCACACACGCACGCCAAAGGATTTGCAGGGATGTTCACAATCTCGTAAAACCTGTCCGACGGTACTGTAAAGCATTCACGCGCAAAAGCAGCAGCAGCAGCGTGCGTGGCGGTGTCCCTGACAGCCAAGTGACCATACAGTGGTCCCTCATTGTTTCGGATCTTGAGAGTCCATACCCCTCTGTAAGTCAGCGCGCACAATAAATCTGCTGACCGAACAGTGGTTCGGTTGGCTAGCATCGTGTGGGTTGTGGTCTTTACCTCCAATCACTCTCAGGCGGAGGTAATGTTTTGAAAGTCTACATGTATTTGTGTTAATCCGCGCTTGTGCGTTATACGGTTACGGTAAAAGCGTTGGGATTATTCTATATATTTTTTTTGCACCAAATAAGCGTTTGCCTCGAGTGGCCACGTGTAAAGCACATGCTGAAAACTGGCTACTGCATGCACAGTGCGCGGGCTGTAAACACCATCGACTGTCGTTCTGCGTGGCAAGGAGAGGCATTTGTGTTGAATCACGGTGGCGAGATGTTAACTAACCTCGCCTGGTGCGCAGGAGATCGTGGGTTCGATCCCGACCCTGACACCTGTGTATTTGGAACTTGCATTTTTCTCCCCGTCGTGGCGTGGATTTTTCTCCGGGTTCTCCGGTACATCCCTCCACGTTTAGCGACATGCGTTCAGAGTATTTGGCTGCTATGAATGTCAACATGAGTATCCACTTCGTTGAAAAAAAAATCGTTTAGTAGTTTAAATCTCATAGTTGCTCCGAAATCTCATAAATTGTCATATTCAGCCAGCTCTAGTCGTCTCGGAAGTGCGCTTGAATATGCTCTGAGCTCTGACGGATGAAAAAGTAAAAGGTGCAGTCCTGCAATTTTCTGCTCGACGTCCCCGGTCTAGAGAGTCCTTCTCTTAGAGCAGTGTTCTTCACTAGTTTTCAGAGGGGGGGGGGGGGGGGGGCACCATCGCCGATAAGACATCATCAGTGTGAGGGCCGCCACACATTTGAAACCATTGTGGTTTGACAGCAGAACGATGATGGGGGGTGTTTTCACATTTGTGTATTGTCAGGAGCCGCACTAAAAGGCTACCAGGGGGCCTCCATAGGCCCGCGGGACTCTCAATGAAAGAACAATGTCATAATAGGGTGTTTTTTACCGTCGTAGGGTGTTTTTTTACCGTCGCTTCCATGCTGGCCAGATTATGTTTTTGTAAAAGGAAGGAGGACCCACACTCTACTTCAGCACGCGCGACCTGCCGATCGACTTTGTTTTGACCCACTTATTGCTGTTCGGTGGACAGAGCCGGAGGCGTGCGGGGTGGGGGTTTAAGAACCTTTCCCTGTCGTCTCCTCTGGATTGGCGAGTCCGCTCACCACTACACCACCACGGCAACGCGTGCACCTCGAGTACCGTGCAGTAATATTTGTTTAAAGGATATGGAATGAGTATGAAAACTGTATTGTAATGCAAACACATGGATATTAAATGCATCACATTGTAAATATGTGATGAACCCTTTCAATACGATAAGTACATTATTTATTTAAGACCTGACCCGGCCACGTGGCTCAGCAATTCTGCATGGGTGGATAAAGTGAGCATCACTTTCTGGTGGAGTCAACACTGATTGTCCTATGGACAGACTCGCCCCCACCATAGAAATGTGGAATTCACACGACTGGCTTAACGCTTTATAGAGAAGATGAGTACCGCCTCAATCCTCATTTTGAGCGGGAAATCACTTTGACTTTCGATTTGAGACGAGGTGAGAGCCCATTTCCCGGGCCCACTCTCTTCCTCTGAACACCCATTCGTGAGTTAAAAGCGTGTACATTTCTGGGACGCAATCTTACATAACGTAGCTTGGAAATGTAAAGCATCTCACCGCTGGGCGAATATTAAAAAAAAATGTGAATTATTTAACACGTGGTGTAATTTGTGACTCCACTGAAGGGCACACACATTCGGCAAGGTGAGCGAGTTTGCACGCAACTGCAGTACAGAATTGAAACTTAAAACACATTTTTTTCTACACGCAGCCTGCCAAGTTCTGATAGTTGAAATTGTTGGAGAAAGCTCTTAATCAATGTGACTCCTGGCACACAATCACTGGAAAACAGCATCTATTTTGGTTTGGAGAATTGAAAGCCTCGACCAGACAGACTAGAGGCACGTGCGCGCACCTGTGATGCAGGCGTCAGGCAACGCACGTCTCGTGATGGTTTTAGCGATCATCGGGTAAACAAGAATCGGCTTGCGCCAGCCGTAGTCTCTTCATCACCAGGGTTATATCGCCACGTGTGTTCTGGAACACCGCGCCTGCCTGCCACCGGATATCCGAAGCGCGCCGAATGTCTCTCAATTCCGTGGCCTGTGCAAGACCCACCTATTCCGACTTGCATCCCCATAAAATCTAATTTTTAAAATTAAAAGGATCTATTTACTGATTCAGTATTTTGTTAATTTTAAATTTCGCACGGTTGTGATTTACTTTGTTCGGTCGGTGTTAGCCGCTGAGGTCGTCAGGGTTTTTTTTTCATTCCTGTTTCGGTATACCAGTGAGGCTCTTAGGTTACTTCACTATACTTCACCGCGCTAGTCAGTGCGGGTTAGTGAGCGCAGGGAGCACAGACGTGGGAGCATAGAAGCACGGTACGACAAAAGACTATACCGTTCCCGTTCCGTTGTCATATGCACTGATGCCTTTATTGAGGGTGGATTGATGGAGATGTGTTCATCACTCTTGCAGAGTCACATGGTATTGTTCGTAAAGGATATATGTTGAACTTCTTTCACACCGTACGTAGCCAACCGTGCTTATCGGAGGTGCGGGACACGCAACATTTGCAAACGTGTAGGCACGCGGAACATTTGCCAAATATTCATGGCTGCAGCAGTGCAAGTAAAATAAGAATATTTTTGCTATTTAACATATGGAAATGCATCACTTTTTAATTGCCAAAATGTACATATTTCACTGCACTCGGTCGGTGCAAATTGGTGATTGTGGGAATCAATACTGGTTCATATACAGTATATCAGCCACCACTGATTTAGCTGAGAATTGAACTCAAGTCGGTGCGATAAACACTGCACTATTTTCATCGGATTACAAGTATGAAAATAAATCACACCTCGCAGTGCATGTAATGTAAATTTACCCAGATAAGCCTGAGAGAACCCCACACTGACATACAAGGCACTGCCACAAAATGGAATTCCAGATGGAAAGAAAACACCTGAAATGCAGGAGAAAGAAAAAAATATTCATCCAACTCTACGGTTCACCTCAAATTCTTAAGAAATACACTTGCAAATCTGGAAATGTAAATTTTCCCGAATTCAAGGATCACACACATAAAGGTACAACCTCTCATCTGACACATTTTGCCAGTGTTAATACACACGAGAATGTGAAACGCTCTGTTGTGGAGTATCCTGAGCAATACAAATAAAAACACATACAAGGCAAAGGTGAAGCTGCACAATATCGTGCTTGTGCCACTGCTGTCAGAAGGGTCTCCTCAAGTGATGCTCATTTTATCCACCCAATAACTCCCCCATGGCTGGTCAGACGCCTTGGAAGAGGCAAGAGCACACGCACTTAATCCCAACACATGCAACCTCTAAATCGTCTACCTGTGTTGAACACCTTAATGCTTTCGTCATTGTTTAAACTTATGGGTCCAGGGCTGGGAGATCGAACGTATGTAGCATGTACTGTATGTTGAACTTCTTTCGCACCGTACGTAGCCAACCGTGATAATTGAAGGTGCGGAACAGGATAACCTCTGGATTACAAGTCCAGAGTGCTAACCATAACACCACGGCAGCCTCCCATTGCAGCATATATATCATACACTTTCGTGTTTTGGCCCATTGGCCTTCTAGAATTGTTAATGTTATGGTGTCAGCGAGATAATTTATACACTTTGCGTGAAAAAAACACTTCATTTTTCAAAAGACCAACATACCATATATTGATGCTCCTGATCAGCCATCCCTGTGTGTGTATGGGGTGCTGTTTATTTGACAAAATAAGATTAAAATTATTAATGTGACCAGGTAAAATTACACCTCTTTTAAATAATTAACTCCACTGAAGACTACAACACATATTTTTCACCTCCTTAGAGTTTATTGTTGTGAGCAGATGCGTTTAGGGTGCAGTGACAAAGAGATATGAGACAACCATCTTTATTAATTAAATGTCATCATCACATATCTGCTTTATAGCCCAGCCACAGCTGTCAAATTGACTTCTGGATAGACAAAAAAAAACAGGACACGGACAATTAAAAACCCCTTTACAATTCATGGACAACGCACTCGCTCTGTAACGCCTTCACACATTTTCACAAATGCAGCCTCTATGGCTCAAAAGAGGTAAAAACGTCTGAACCTGGCATGGGAGAGGACCCTCTTGCGGGTGTCATGAATTTTTTTGCCAGATGAGAGGGCCCAAGCCGGATTGGCTGCTCCCGTCTACACCCACACATCGGCAACATCCAATGGTGCCGCGGCTTGCTTGGCCAGAGGCCAGCAGCATAAATAACATCTGCGTCAACTAGGTTTGTGGCTGGAGCCGCTGTTGCCACTTGCTATTGAAGCGGCACCGTATTCAAGGGAGGGGAGGGGGTGTTGTAACGCCGCAAAACAACAGTGTCGTGACGGCCATTTGCCTTCCAGGAAAAAAAATCGCAAGGCGAGAGGGCGAAGAGGCGATCTGTCACAAGCGTCCGCGTGCGTGCGTGCGCGTGCGTGCGTCCGCGTGCCCGTGTGCGTGAACACATTTCACGCAGGGAAGAGAGAGAGAGAGAGTTCGGTCGGTCGTCTTGTCACGCTGACGACTGGAAAATGAAAGTTTAAGGGGAGGGGGAGGCCGCTGAGAGAAGACCGTGGCACGGGAGCCGAGGGGGTGGCGTGAGAACGTTCTCCCTCTGGGGAGAGTGGTGGTGGACCCTTTGAGAGAGAGAGAGACATCACAACATCAACAACATCATCATCGGCGGCGGCGGCTTGGGTTGTCAGTGGCGCGAGAAGAAAAGTTTAGAAAACCCAACAGGTCGGTACGAACGGTTCGGTTGCTATTCTTCAATTTGATGAGTGGCTTTTGTTGTTGTTGTTGTTGTCGCCTGGTCGGTAACCTGCGCACAGAACGGCACCCACACATTTTGGTCGGTCGGTCGAGACGTTTTGACGAACCGGTAACGTTCCGTCTGCTTCTGCTGGCTCGTTTGAGCAACGTTTTGAATGCAAATCAGCGTTGTTTGTGGCATGGCATACGACCGTGCGTATATATGCACGGTTGTGTGGTGATTGTGTAGGATCTGTGTGTGTGTGTGCACGGTAACCAAATTTACTTATTTCCACCCCCCCCCCCCCAATTTAGATACTGTGTTACATAATCTCGCACGCGTGATAACTGGCCGAACAGAGTACTGCACGCGCTTTTTTTTTTTTAAAACGCTTTTGACACTGGGTCTTCAATGCTATTATAAGTCAACGGGGCTTTAACACTTTCACGCGGGCACAGCAGCCGTGCCTATTTAAAAGTAGATTCGATGGACAGTCAAAAGCCGCCTTCCCCGTCAAGACCATACGACATTCGGTTATTCGGTCTCTCTTCGACATCGGCCTCCCCATAATAATGATCATCATTTACTTAACACAGATCAATTGACCGTCGTCAAATGTCAACGTACACAACACAAATGGTCGTAAAATATTGACGCAAACGTCCCGTTATCTCGCCATAATTAGCGCGTGAAAAGCCAGCGGCAACACCTGCGTTTCTTACGGTGACGGAATTATCTATGATATGGCTTGTTTGCACAAATCAGGCCAACATGTATATTAAAATTAAAAAACCCCAACTCCCCGAGAAAACAACATACCGGTGATAATAAACATTGGCATTTGTCCGTGAATTATGGGTGAACTGCAAGGCCATTTCATTGTGAGCACCGTCCTAGATTGTTTCCTGTGTGTACGTGCTAATTGTGTCTGTTTATTTGTGTCCGTGTTGTCAATTTGTGCTGATTGTGTGTATGTTACGTGTATCTCCTTCTGGAGCTGTCTGTCCAGCACCTGGTCCAAAGGTCTGTGCAGACTATCACGGGGGGGGGGAATCTGTGTGTTTGTGTGCATCAGTCTTGTCTATGAGTGCGTGTCAGTGTCTCTGTTCATCTATGTATCTGTGTGTGTGTGTGCATGTGTGCATGTGTCTTTGTGTATCTATTTTTCTGTATACAGTGAGGGAAAAAAGTATTTGATCCCCAGCTGATTTTGTAGGTTTGCCCACTGACAAAGAAATTATCAGTCTATAATTTTAATGGTAGGTTTATTTGAACAGTGAGAGACAATAACAACAAAAAACATCCAGAAAAACGCATGTCAAAAATGTTATAAAGTGATTTGCATTTTAATGATGGAAATAAGTATTTGACCCCCTCTCAATCAGAAAGATTTCTGGCTCCCAGGTGTCTTTTATACAGGTAATGAGCTGAGATTAGGAGCAAACTCTTAAAGGGAGTGCTCCTAATCTCAGCTTGTTACCTGTATAAAAGACACCTGTCCACAGAAGCAAGCAATCAATCAGATTCCAAACTCTCCACCATGGCCAAGACCAAAGAACTCTCCAAGGATGTCAGGGACAAGATTGTAGATCTACACAAGGCTGGAATGGGCTACAAAACCATTGCCAAGCAGCTTGGTAAGAAGGTGACAACAGTTGGTGCGATTATTCGCAAATGGAAGAAACACAAAAGAGCTGTCAATCTCCCTCCACCTGGGGCTCCATGCAAGATCTCACCTCGTGGAGTTGCAATGATCATGAGAACGGTGAGGAATCAGCCCAGAACTATACGGGAGGATCTTGTCAATGATCTCAAGGCAGCTGGGACCATAGTCACCACGAAAACAATTGGTAACACACTACGTGGTGAAGGACTAAAATCCTGCAGTGCCCGCAAGGTCCCCCTGCTCAAGAAAGCACATATACATGCCTGTCTGAAGTTTGCCAATGAACATCTGAATGATTCAGAGGACAACTGGGTGAAAGTGTTGTGGTCAGATGAGACCAAAATGGAGCTCTTTGGCATCAACTCAACTCGCCGTGTTTTGAAGGAGGAATGCTGCCTATGACCCAAAGAACACCATCCCCACCGTCAAACATGGAGGTGCAAACATTATGCTTTGGGGGTGTTTTTCTGCTAAGGGGACAGGACAACTTCACCGCATCAAAGGGACGATGGACGGGGCCATGTACCGTCAAATCTTGGGTGAGAACCTCCTTGCCTCAGCCAGGGCATTGAAAATGGGTCGTGGATGGGTATTCCAGCACGACAATGACCCAAAACACACGGCCAAGGCAACAAAGGAGTGGCTCAAGAAGAAGCACATCAAGGTCCTAGAGTGGCCTAGCCAGTCTCCAGACCTTAATCCCATAGAAAATCTGTGGAGGGAGCTGAAGGTTCGAGTTGCCAAAGGTCAGCCTCGAAACCTTAATGACTTAGAGAAGATCTGCAAAGAGGAGTGGGACAACATCCCTCCTGAGATGTGTGCTAACCTGGTGGCCAACTACAAGAAACGTCTGACCTCTGTGATTGCCATCAAGGGTTTTGCCACCAAGTACTACGTCATGTTTTTCAGAGGGGTCAAATACTTATTTCCCTCGTTAAAATGCAAATCAATTCATAACATTTTTGACATGCGTTTTTTTCTGGATTTTTGTTGTTATTCTGTCTCTCACTGTTCAAATAAACCTACCATTAAAATTATAGACTGATAATTTCTTTGTCAGTGGGCAAACCTACAAAATCAGCTGGGGATCAAATACTTTTTTTCCCTCACTGTATATTTATTTGTCTGTATCTTTATGCCGGTCTCTTTGTATCTGTGTGACTGTCTCTGCCTTTTTCTGTCTTTGTGCTGTCTCTTTTTGTTCATATCTATGTACGTGTTTCATTGTATTTATATTTCTGTGTCTATATCTGTGGCCATGTCCTCCGCTTTTGAGCGTGTTCGTGTACCAGTACGTGTATGTGCGTTTCTGTAACCGTGTGTGTGCCTTTGTGTCTGTCTCTCCGTGTTTCTATCTGTGTCTGCGTTAAGTGTGCCTGCGTATCAGTGTCTCTGCACGTCCCTGTGTTTCTCTGTTGTGTGTGGGCCACCTTTCAGCGGGGTCCAAAAATCTAAAACTCTGCCATTTTTTCGCAATGTTCCTCCAGGATTGTGAAATGGGTCGTGATGCCACTTAGGATGAGCGTAATATCACCCCCTTCGCCACTGCTTCTGCGTGACATTGGACAAACGCACATTGTGAATGTGGGCAAACTCGTTCGAAAGCAGTTTTCTCTCTCCCCTCCCCATTAATAAAGTGCTGTAAGGTATCTGTTTATTTTGATGTACTCGTAAATTCAGCATTGCAGGGCAGACTTTGTGGTTCAGTGGAATAGCAATCAACTTAACTTGATTATCGTCCGAGTGTGAATGACAACACTGTCGCAACACTCATTCTGATGTCGTTCACCTTGGTTTGTCTTATACAAGGGCACACTAAAATAAACAAATAAAATAGCTCATTGCTTAACAATTAAGGCTGTAAATTTTGATTTAAAGCTTTCGTGACTGCAGTAATTCATATTCTTAGCTCTTTCGGTAAAGTCACGTTGAAGGGAAACAATATATTTTATTGTTTTATATATATTTTATTATTTTATTGTTTCCCTTCAACGTGACTTTACCGAAAGAGCTAAGAATATGAATTAAGGCTGTATTACAGTGGCAGATTAATTGTGCTCTTTTCTTGCATAGTTTAGTGCAAATGTACAGCATAAAAACACTGAAACTATACGTATTAAATACATTTTCATTTTGAGGTTTTGTATAATTGCTACTCAAGGGGCAGCTGAATTGTTAAAATGTTTTGCCAAAGAATACCAATCACACAGTCAAGGATGGTCATCCTCAGATTGAAGACATACATTTACAGATTCCAGTGATACAATGCTCTCTGTAGGATAGGGTGTGCATGCACAACGCAATTTCCACTGCCGTCGTGAATTCCACTGTCGATATTTCAGGCTGGAATTCACTCACGGCTCGCTTCGTCATCAATTCCCATGATTATTCCCGTGATGTGGGCGGAAGCAATGGAGGTGAGGTTTTTACGACATCGCAAGCAAATAAAATATTCGCCTAAATTCAAAAGTGATTTCTTGCCCAAATGACCATTGAGACAGTGAGTGCTCTTCTCCTGTGTACAGTCCTGAGCCAGTAGTGGCAATTCCACAGTCCTATGAATCACCCATCAACCAAGATCTGTACTTGTAACCTTCCGATTGCCAGCCGCCTTGCTGGTCAATGGCTATTTGATCATGAAAACCATTACCCTTACATTTTGATCTGAACTGTGGCATCACAATTCTGTACGTTTCCATTGCCCATGCCAGCTCCATCATTGGCAGAGCCATAAACGGAGAGTGATGGGCCATTTTCCCAGAACAGTGGCTTTGTCTATGCATTTGCTTTGACGTTTGCTTAAAAAGTACCAACACATGGGAAATGTTTGTGATAATATTAACATCTCCAGCCCCCCCCCTCCCCCGCGAGGGAATTATCTATCTTTGTTATTGGAAGAGACGTTTTCTCAGAAATAAAATGTGAAGTGTGATTATTAAGTAGATCGTCTGCCCACTGTAATTCCAGTAATGAAGAGCAGGCCACATGGGGTTATGTGCAACGTGCATGAGTGGATTACACTTAAAGCTACGTCCTTCTGAATAGAAAATTGACATTTGCGCATAATAGGATGCTCTGTTTATTACCGCAACAGATTCTGCCTTGTTTTAGTTATCCTGATTTAGCCTTTCATTTTTATTTTAGCAAAAGTGGTTGAATAAGTGCAGATGCAGCATTTGCTGCTTATTAAAATGTTTCAATTAATTATTCTTTCACAACCATTGTCATTTGTCGTGGAAACAACAGGCGATTAGAAAATTAGATTCAGGCATATAGAAAAAAACATAATACGAGTATTTGTTTATGTATTCATACGCAGAC